TTGATTTTCTTATTTATATTAATGGATTTTTGCATTTTAAATACATATATATTTAATATATTTATATATTTGAATTATGGATTTTGTTATGAGATATTTAATTCAAATATATTTGTATTTAAATTATGGATCTTGTTATGAGATATTAATTCATATTATTTTGGATATTAAATAAGTTTATTTTAACTAGATATTTTCTTAGAGGAATTTGTCTTTAATTAAAATAGGAAAAAAACTTTTTTTCGTATCTGAGGGGAAAAAAGATTCTAAGTCTCCAATATAAATATATCTTATTGAGATATATTTGAGTGTGACTAAAATACTCAAGAATTTTTTTTTTCTAGGAATTTCATGTAAGAAAAGGAGTAAACTGGTCTCATAAAACGATCAAACCATCCAAAGTGTGCCCCACACACATAATAATTGGTTTTTTAGTGGATTGAGGATAGCAAAAAAGACTGGTTGGTTGAAGTTTCTTTTGGCGTGATTTTAAGCAATCTACAAGAGGTAATTGATTAAGCTAAATTGATTGTATATAGCATCATGAGTTTGGATTATATTTTTCTTTGTTAATTTTTAAAGAAGAAAATTTTCCGCTGCATATTTTATTACCCTAATTCCAAGAGGACTAACTCACTCGAATTCAATTACTTGGTTGGGTGCATAATTGGACCAAGTCTCCCTAGTTCAGCTCCTTGGTCGGTATACGTAGGGCTGGAAAAAAAAAATCGAAAACCAAACCAAAAAATCAGATCGAAATCGAATCGAAAAAACTAATTTTTAAAATTAATCGATTCGATTTCGGTTTTTAAAAATAATTAAACTGAATTTTTAGTTTGATTAACGATTTAAGGATAATATCATACCGGTTAAATCAAAATCGGTTTTTCAAAAAATAAAAAAATAAAAATATCCCTTATTCCCCCCCTCCCCTCCCCTCCCCCCTTTTTCTTGGTATTGGCTACGCAGAACTGCAGTCTGCTACTCTGTTTCTCTGCGCATTTTCTTGGGTTCTCCACACAAGTACTTTTTTTTTCTTTCACTATATTCTCTTTCTTCTTCCTCTTTCTCCTGTCACTGCTTTCTCTTTACTTTTTTTCAGTTTTTCTTCACATTTTCGTATTCTTCTCTTACTCTCCTTTACCAACTTTTTTCTCTTTCACTATTTTCTCTTTCTTCGTCTTCTTTCTCCTTTCACTGCTTTTCTCTTTTTTTTTTTTTTTCAGTTTTTCTTCACATTTTCGTCTCTTCCTCTCCTTCACCAATTTCTCTTTCTTTTTCGTCTTCTTCTCCTTTCACTTTTCTGTTTTTTTTTTTTTCTTTTTCGTCTTCTCCATTTCTTCTCTTTCACTGCTTTTCTGTTTAGATTTGAATAAGAAGCGAGAAGAGAACACCATGATTGGACTTCAGCCTTCTTCTTCTTCTTCCTCGATCGTTTGGTAAAGCATAATTTTAATTCAAGTAAAAAAAAAAAATTGGAAAAAAAAAGGAACCAAAGTGGAGTGTGACCGAATTGGGCCGAAAAAAGCAGTCCATATTTCATAATTGGGCTAAAAAATGTAGCCCAATATTTAACCGGTTTAAAATCGGTTAACCGAACCAAATTTTTGGTTCGGTTCATAACCGGTTTTTAATTGAAATCGGACCGGTTTTGGTTCAATCATTTTTTTGAACCGAAAACCGATTCGGTTCAAGTTTTTGGTTAACCGGTTTTTTTCACCCCTAGGTATACGGTATTAGCATGCTGAGACCAACTCTCCTTTTATTAAAATGGTGTACATAATAGATGTGAATCTCATGACATTGGTGTTTGTCAATTACCCCAATTAGGTAATGTTATCTACTTCTCCTTATAAGTCAAAACCTAACATATTTATATTAAATATGGAATCATACTAAAGGGGTGTTTGGTTGGGGGTTATCCCTCACTACTGAAGTAATGTCATCTTATATTATTTATATTACAAATTTACAATATTTGGTTGTCAAGTAATAGAAGATTCTAGTAATCTTTCAAAACCAATAGTAATTATTTTTTATTACATAGGTGGTAATCTGATTACCGTCATTTTCTTAAGTATTTTAAGATTACTTCATAATCTTAATTTTGTTACAGTTTTACTCTCAACTATTAATTTTTTTGGACAATAATACCCTTATTTTGAAATTAATTTACATAAACCTACCATTACAATTTTACCCCTAATAATTAAGGGTTCGTTTGGTTTGTTATTTTGGATATGATTTTGGAAATAATATTAGATAATTGAATAGGGTGATTATTATGAGGTAAAAGTTAAAAATTAACAAAAAAACCCCCTAGGTTTGCTAATTTAACTAAACACCCCAATATATAAAATTTTTGTAAAATGACAAAAACACCCCCACCCACCCACGGTGTCAGATTCTGGCCACCACCGTCAGAATCTGGTCAGAATCTGGCATTACGATGTAGACCGGTTAGATCTGGCCGGCCGTGATTCGATCTAGCATTTTCTAGCCAGATCCACCACGAATCTGGCCGAAAAAGGCTAGATCAGCGAATTACCGGCCAGTTCCGGTCGTTTGTAGGCCGTTGTGACAGATTCCAGCTACCACCGATGGTGTTTGCCGAAATCTGGCAACTATGGGTGGGTGGGGTTGTTTTTGTTAATTTTTAAACTTTTTTTCTAGGGGTATTTAATAAAATTAATAAACTTAAGGGGTCTAAAAGTAATTAAAAAATAATAGTATTTCCTAAATAATTAAACAAACAAATATTTTGGGAATATGATTGGGAATATGGTATGAAATAATAAACCAAATGCACCGTAAGTTTTTAGACACTAATGCCTTTGTATTTAAAACAAGTTGTAGACCACCCATGACTACTGTCGCCCGCCAGCCACCACCGCTGCCCACTAGCCATTGCCGATTGACGTCAATAGAACGACACACGACCGGCCAAATCTGGCTGACTGTGCACCGATCTGGCCATTTCCAACCGGATCAATGGTTGGAAACGACCAGATGGCCGTAGATCTGGTCGAAAACGACCAGATCTATTTTGATCGGTGCACGACCGACCAAATTCGATCAGTTGTGCATCGTTTTGGCCACTATCATCGCCTACGGCGGTGATGCCCGACGGCCGACAGTGGCTTGGTATGGGTGAGGTGATTTTGTTAGAAATTAAACTTTTATGTGGTTAACATGTTTTAGCAAAATCTCAATTGTAGGGGGTTAAAAGGAATGATTTAAAAAATAATAATAAAAAATATTATATTAATATTTAAAAAGGAAGGCAATTTAGTAATTTATATAACATATCTACTAATTTATTTCTCCCAACTAAGCATATAAATATAATATACCCACCAATTTATTTGAATCTAGCCAAACATATTTCCCTAAATATTCTTAATAATCTTTAAGGTAATCTATCTTTTCATTAATATAACATTCTCAATAATACAATATTCCCTGAACCAAACACGCTCTAAGGGTTGTTTGTTTATTCTTCATAAATCTTAATGTAGCCAATTTTAATATATTAAGATATTTTTTGCTTGTTTTGTTATTGATTTATATTTGATAAACAAATATAATCAAAAAGCCAAAAATATTTGGCTTTTATCTAAATACAACAACATCTTAATTACTAATAAATTTCTTTGGCCAACAATACACCTATTATATTTATATAATTCCAATTCTAACAAATCCCTTATATTTTATATGTTTTTGGTCTTATTTAATTTTAATTTTAATTTTTTTTGCTATAAATAAAATTTTAATATTATATCAAACATAATTTTTAAAATTATACAGTTATCTCTAATTTATAACATTTGTTTTGTTTTGATTTCCATAATTTTATAAGTTAAAATTGTTCAAAACATGTAAACAAATATTATTAAATACTTAAGATATTTACTACAAATAAAAACAAACAATTCAACATTATGATCATACATTGAAAAATAAAAAACAAATATCTCTATCATACTTGTAAATTCAAATAGAAATAGCTAACAAACACATTCAACTTTTAGACAGTGATTTAAAACCCAAGCTGAACTGGCCGGTCAGACCGAGAATCGACACTGACTGTGGTCCATGTACCCCCCAAACCCGAGAATAGCCACTGGCCCAGATTGGGCCGGATTTGGACGGGTAGAATAGTAACAAACCACCAATCCAACCGGCCTGATGCCTAAATTTGGTCACCAAATTCCGGCAGCTTCCAATGCCAACGATCCCATTTGACACCACCACCATGATCACCTTCATCTCCACATCAAAATCCCTATCATCCGAAAGTCCAATTGTGTTTGCTTCGCGAAAATCGGCAGTTTCCTCCCTAATTCTTGCAGATTGCAACGCCAACCACCCCACCTGACACCACTATCAACATCAACATCAACATCAACATCATCTTCATCTCCACATCAAAACCCCTATCATCTTGAACTCCGATTGGCCACCTGTCGTCGTCGTTTTGTCTGCTTTGTGGGTTGTTACCCAAATCGCAGGAGTGTGTTTGCTAAATTTTAAATCTGTAGGGACTGATTAGAATTTTGCAGGAGTATGTTTGCTGGATTTCAAAACTGCTAGATATGCTAGTGTCATTGGTCGAACTGATTGATCCAACCGGTCAGGCTGAAAACCCAAGGAATTGGCCCATTGATCGGTTCAAGGGGCGGACCACCTAAGGCTCATGAGAAAATAATTATTTAGCCCAATTGTATTTTATTAATCAAAAGCTTAACCAAATAAATTGAATATTGGTCTAAATTTTGTTTTTCTTTAGCCCAATGGATCCAAGAACTGACCCGGTTTATCCATTTTTCTTTTGAAGATAAAAAAAGAAAACAAAGCTCATGATTGAAAACGTGGTCCCCTGACTCGAAAATAGTTTCTGCTGAGTCAAAGAATCAGCACCCACTTCACAAGATCAACACTACTCTCTCTCGTTTCTCTTATCTGCTTATTCTAACAAGTGTTACTTCTCTGTAGTAATGGCTTCTTTGGTGGGGCAACTTGTGTTTGCCTTAGAAGGCCCAAATGGATATAAAGTTTGGGAAGATCAGTCTTTCATCAAGTGGAATAAGAGAGATCCTCATGTCACTTTACGTTGCCATGATTCTGTTGAAGGTCAACCATCTTTCCCATTCTCATCTCTATTGGTTTGTTCGTTTTTGTTTTTTTGATCATTTTTAAGTTTTAGCAAATGGCGTTCTGAGTATATTTCGATTCGTGGAGAATGCTACTGATAGAAATCCCGGTATTGATACCGGAATTAGAGGTTTTATTATCCACATTTGGCGGCTTTTACCTTACTGGCCCGAGAAATTTGTCTAGTAGGTTGGACAAAATTAACAAGTTTCATTTCCCAGTAATGGTACCGCGGGGGCCAGGAACATAGTATGCCAAATTGTAGTTTCTGAGGTTGTGATTCTATTCTGTTAGCATTGGTACTGTTTTGATAACTACCTGATGTTTTTGGAAGTTTTGCTCGTTGTTGTGGTTGAGTTTAGTTAAAACTGTCTGATCAGACAAATGGGCTCAAATTTAATTAGTCTATGTTGCAGTATTCAGCTCAAGTTCAACCTTTTTATTTCATTCACTCGTCTCTTGCACAAATACTAGCAACCTGATCCTTTTTGGAAAATTTCTTTTCTGGCTAATCTCTTTTGAAGTTTTAAACTTAACTGTAAAATGTAAATGGGGTTGAAAATAAATTCAGATTTGGTGTATACGTGTGCAGTATTCAATTCAATTATTCTTGATATTTGTTGGTGTCTATCTCCTTTTTTTTTTTTTTTTTTGAAATTTGACATTTTGTTTATCTATAGGTTCTCTTAGATACTGGTATGAACGCAATAAAGTGGATCTTTCTGCATCCAAAACTGCTGTTTGGGATGACGAAGCTGTTCAAGGAGCTCTTGACTGTGCTGGGTTTTGGGTTCAAGGCTTGCCTTTCGTCAAGTCTTTGTCTGGTTATTGGAAATTTTTCTTGGCTCCTAATCCTACCAGTGTTCCTATGAATTTTTATGACAGTGTATTTCAAGATTCTGAGTGGGACAAATTACCTGGTAAACATTTAATGCCTTTTATTTTATTCTTTTTCCGTTTCTAATTTTCAATTTCAATCAAATCTGACATGTAATTATGTCGTATTTTATAATTGCATCTTCTATATTATCTCCTTGTCTAGTACTTAGAAATGCTCCCCGGAATTCTCATAAGTTTATTTCTTCCCCTAATTGGAGCAGTTCCTTCCAACTGGCAGATGCATGGATTCGATCGCCCAATTTATACCAATGTTGTGTATCCATTTCCACTTGATCCTCCTCATACTTCTGTTGATAATCCTACTGGTTGCTATAGGACTTACTTTCACATTCCTAAAGAATGGCAAGGTATTATATACTTAAATGTGGTAGTGACTTTTGTTATGTGTTCTAATGCTTCTTGATCCTTGTTTATTTGTTCTTTTGCTTATTTTGTGCTTCAGTGATTATTAAACATTTGATCTAAGTTTGGCAGTTCTTATCCTTTCTGCATCTAAGGTTTACACTCAGATGAACTCTTAACTGCTCTATCTATGAACAACTTGCCCTCTGAACTTTTCATGGGAACAATGCCCATAAAACACTTGGCTGTAATCCTAGATTATCCCTCTTGACAGAAAATTCTGTTTAAACTTTTACTTATGTGTTATACCAGGTTGAACAAGTTCATTCCTGACAAATGTCTTTAGCAGATAGCACTAATTGGCAAGTCCATATTCTGTCTCTCAACTTGTTTTTTATTAGTGGTCTTTGATTTTTGAAATGGATTGGAAAAGAGTAGGAGAGGAATTTGGTGCTTAGATATAAAACATCTGGTCTTTTTTAGTCTACATGTTTTAGTCCAAGGTTCTAATCTTCAAAAAGTTTAATGCTTTAATATAACGTTGGAATCTAACATTTAACAGAGATATTCATAGGCTATATTGTGAAGGGTAAAATTGATTGTCACAAGGAAGAAGTACATGTTTGACTTGCTACAAATTTACATTGGCCAAATGTTCCTCACATGAGCTAAGGCATGCGATGTTTGTGACTCTTTAGGTTATCTGAAAATATTGATAGAAGAGGCAGTTTTGGGATTTTTTGTTTGGGGAATTGATTCAATTTGAAATTACAAGAGAATTCAATTTTCTCTTGAAGTATTTTTTTTTTTTTTTGGTATGTTTCATACTTAGAAGATATGCTTGTATGGTAATTCAAATTTGAATATGTTTATTTCCAGTGTTTACATGAATATGATAGTTCCCATTTCTCTCTCTCTCTCTCTCACAGACACACACATGCACGCGCGCGCACACACATACACGTGCAAACAATCACCCCAAACTCCTCCCACTAATTCGTACGTGGCACACATTTCACAAATCGTGGAACTTTGAAAGTTTATTATTTAAGCAGGTCGTAGACTATTCTTGCACTTTGAAGCTGTTGACTCGGCATTCTGCACATGGATCAATGGAGTGCCTGTTGGATATAGGTACTTATTGCATGTTTACAAGGAAATATTTTTTGAATTATAGTAATTATTATACTAATAGGAGGTAGGTTTCTTCTTTTCAATGATCCATTGTTTTGCCTTCATAGTGAATGTTAGCAATATCATCAGTATGTATATGTAGTTTATGTAGATAAAATATCTATTCATGAAAAGTTTGGTGATCTAAGCTGGGGTGCAATTAGGCAATTTATGCTGTTTCCTATAAGTAAAGAAAAAAAGAAAAAACACACACACACACACAAATTTAACGGAACCTATAATCAATGGATAGTATGTGATGAATGAATCACCTTACATTTTACACCAGAAATTATAATAACGTTTAATACCTTAAATAACAGTATGATATAAACTCTTAAACCATCATTGAGCTAGAGTTCATATATCGTTTTAATGAATCTCATTTACTCATGCAGTTGACATTGGAGTTGTTCAATTGTTTCCTATACACTTTTCTACTTCAGTTTCTTCATTACACACTAAAACTATGTTTTAGAGATGATCACACTTGGAGATCTAGTTGAGAAAAGGAAAAACAATCTAAATAATTTATAGTATAAAGACTCAATCTGAAGGTTGTCTATCACAGATTTGCTAGTTGAGCCTTATTTGCTTTAATATAAAAAATTAATTGCTGAGTCCAAAGGATATATATGGAGATCATTGAGGTATACTGCTGGGTACTGTATTAAAAAGTTATGGTTTATATGTCTGGGTGCCCTTGGTTACTGATAAACGTTTGATGGGAATTAACAGACTTGTTTGTGTTGTGCTAGGTCAGTCAGGATAGTAGACTACCTGCGGAGTTTGAAATTACGGACAACTGTTATCCATGTAGTTCAGACAAGCATAATGTTCTAGCAGTTCAAGTTTTTAGATGGAGTGATGGTTCTTACCTTGAAGATCAAGATCATTGGTGGTTATCTGGTATTCATCGTGATGTGCTTCTTCTAGCGAAGCCACGGGTTTGTTCCTTTGCATCCCTTTAATTAGCACTGCTGTTTTCTAATTAAAACCTAATACTATCTTGCTCTTGTTGAGCACTATTTAGCCATGAGACTCTATTTAGCCCACTAGACACTAGAAAACACTATCTAGTGCACTAGATGGTACTCAATGTCTTATGCACACAATGGTGTTCAACAAGTGTTAAATGTTGTTAACTGCGTGCTAGACAGGTTTAATGTATAGAGGAGCATTTTCATTCTTTGTGGTCATTATTTGACTATATATGCAAGAATTTTGAAACTGGCTATTTTTCAATTATGAACTATTTTTTTATTGGAAGTAAGGTCTTTACCCTCTTAGGCCATTTAACTTCAAGTTTCAGCCAAAGGGGAGGCTTTCTATTCTAGCTTAGGCAAGATAGGGAGATTATTGATTGCTAACTTATGTTTGTGTGCATATTACTTATTTGTTTAAGCATATAATAATTGGAGGCTTAGGTTGGTTACTTGCTTCATGATCTATGCATGATAATTACTTGCCGAAGCATTAATCCTACATTTAAGTAGTTTAAGTATTATACGTAGCAGGATTTAAGAGCTTTTATGATTCTTATACAGAGATGAACCCAAAAAGAAGAAAAGGATGAAAGAACTAGGAAAATGATACATTTAGTTTGACATAGTGAATTGCTAGTAACAGATAGGTTACTAGAATTATTTATCTTGTTATATTTCTTATTTATTGGAGTCTTATGATATAATTTTAATTTAATATCATAGGCAGAGACTTAGTTAAGAACAACTGAATGAACCTTGATTAAATAGGGTTGAGCACCGGTTTTGTCCATGGAATGTTTAAATGTTTAACCTGTCTACATAATCTAATATTTTGGTAAATGGATCAGCATTTTCATAGGGCTATCTTGAATTCCAGTGAGGATTTAGGTTGACTCCTATTAGTTTTACAATTAGAATATACCCTAAAAAAATTATAAAATGTATAGATAAATGAAACTGATAAATTCGGGATCTTATCTGTTAGCCTTAGTCCATTGCTTGTAAATTTGGAGAATTCTGGAAAGATGGGAGAAATTCTATTAATAAACTAGTTGAAATCCATTTTACAAGAACAATCCTCCTTATATAGTCTCTTAGGACCTTGGAGGAAAAACCTTGAAAAAGTTAGTTGCATATGCTAATCCTACGATCACACTTTTTGCACTTTTTCTTGCCAATTGGACCTCTTTTTCCACATCAACAACTCTCCTCTGATGGGAACCTGGATTCTTAACACTCAACACAACCCAAACAGAGTATAGTATACCCAAACAGAGCAATATACCAACACAGTTCAGTAACAATTGAAAAGACAGTTAATATGAATATACCTCTATATTGATTGATAAAGGAATGAATAACAACGGTAATGGCGAACAAGAAAGAAAACATCAATGAATGTAAAGATAACCTAGCAATTCGAGGAGCTAGGGGCCTCCCTTCCAATATCCCACTAAAATATTCTCTCCCTTTTACAATTCGTATCCCTCAATTTATACTCACTAACGTCACACCAATTCCATTGTTATTACCACGTGGATAACCAACTCTCACTTGCACACTGATGAGACCCTGAGTGTGCTGGTCTATTGTAGGAAACATAAGGTTGGGAAGTAGGGGATTTTGGTGATGTGGCAGGAAACTGCCAGGGGTTTAGGCTAGGACAGGTGGCGATTAAGGGTTGGGACAGCAAGGGAATTCAGTTAGGGAGAGAAAGAGAGCTGGAGGATAAAAAGAGAGGGAGAAAGCAGATTAGGGGGGAAGAATTTAGGGAAATTTGGGAGGAGCTAACCCTCGAAGTTAACAATTAGGGAGGAGCTGGCCCTCGAAGTCTAGCATATATGTTTTTCCATTATTTTCCATTGTTTGTTAATTGAATTCTTGTTGATCTCATGTTGAGATATAGTCCATAGCTGAGTGTAATTCTGAACTTCTCAATGCAATATATACTCTGTTATTCTGGACGTTTACATGATATTTACAATGAACTGTTGATTACTTCTGGTGTTAGTATTTGTGTATGAGAGAGTAAGAGATCTGGGTAGGTTCGCATCACACACCATGCTATTTGCCCTTATTATTCCTTTTGTAAATTTGAGTTGGATGAGTTGGGTCTTATCATCCTCACTTTTTAATAGAGTTTCATCTTGAACTTTATATGAAAAACCTTGTCTTTTACTAAATTTAGGCAAGTTAGTGCACTTTTGCACCAAACAAAACTTATATTTTAACTCTAGCTCCTACATAACTCCATTACTTCTAGTCATTGTCTTTAGGCAAGACAAGTAAATTTAAAATAAAATTCCAAGATTCCCATAGATTCTCGCTTATTTAATTACTTTGACATCCAATTGACTTATTATATTTTGTTTTCTATTCTTTTGACTTCCTTTTACAATCACTATCTTCATAGGGATTTCAAATTTTGTGTTTTGTATAACCCTTTAGATGATTTCATTTTATTTCTATTAGTTGCATAACTCCACAGGATATCTCTGATGTTGATATCTAAGTCATGAGTGAAGTTAAGCACTAAAACAGTAGATAGAATTCTGTAAGTTGGGGTTTATCTACAGTAGTGAGAGGTCATACATATGGAGAAAATAATGGATCATTAGATGTAAGGGGAAGCAAAGTGCGTTTAAATGCTCAATAAAGAGATCAAACTTGCTTGGACGAAGGAAATCCCTAGAAAGAGTATTAACATTTTTAGGCAAAAACTGAAGTTTTATCTTGTCAGAGTCAAAACCGTAGGTTTCAACAATGTATTTAAAAATCTCTGGAGAAGATAGGGGAGTAACTGGGGCTCTCTGTTTTCTTTTCCTTTACCTCTTGAACTATTTCTTACCATGATTTAATATTAAAAAAAATAGGATATCTTAAAATAAAGAAAAGATTTGGGAGGATGAAGAATGGAACCTAAGGTTTAGAATTTCTCTACCCGAGGATTATTAAAAGAATGGCAATGGATAGATGATGGCAAAGGTTGACGGTTGGAGTAGGAATGTTGATAAAAGAAGAGACCGGTTGGATTATAAATAAGCTTTGTGAACAAGCGGATGGTAGGTGGCTTCAGTAATTATGCTTCTTTCAAAATTTTAAATTCCTAAAAGGTGATATCTGCTATAGGGAGTCAAGAAAAGTCGAAAGAATAGAAATGGGAGGACTCAAATAGGGAGTCAAAAGTAATCAAATAAATAAGAATTTTGCGGAATCTTGGAAGTTTCTTATTTTTCATTTTTTTAAATTTAATTGTCTTGCCTAAAGATAAGGATTGAAAGGATGAGAGTTATGTCGGGGGTGGATTTAAATATAATTTGGGTTTGGTGCAAAAGTGGGCTAACTTAGGTAAACTTAGTAAAATATAGGGTTATTCAAATAAACTCCAAGAGGAAAGCCCATTAGCAAGGGTGAAAAAAAGTTGATGATGGGGAAAAAAAATGTCTAGTTAGTAAGGAAAAGTGGAAAAAGTGTGACATTGGGATTAGCATATAACTAATTTTTTAAAAGTTTTCCCTACATGATCCTAAAGGACTATATATAAGGAGGTATGCTCCAGTCAAAAGGATTACAATTCATTCATTAATGAATTTCTCCTATTTTTCTAAAATTCTCCCAATTTTCTCTTGCTTTCTCTCATTTTCTCCTAATCCACCAATGCCAACTCTAGAGAATCCTTGAAGATCTCTGAATCTTCAACATGTATATAATAATCAGGACATCTCAACCTTAATTGTGTTAGGGCCATACTTATATATATCATTGGATTTATTTATGAAATATCATATCACTTCAATAAAATGAGTTAAACGGTGATTAAGCACGGCCTTGACAAGATTTATATCAAGACTAGAAACTACTTTATATATTAGGATGATAAAATCTTGACTCCTCTGATGTACAAAGTAAAATGAATCGTTTGCCATGCATCCACGCCTAGGCATATGATTATCATGCACAAACTGCCAAGCAAGTAGTTGATATAGCCGCCAAGCATTACATGCTTAAGCAAGTAGTTAACATGTAAACAAACCTAAGCTGGTAATTTGGAGCCTCCATTTTAGCCTAAGCTTGAATTTGAAGCATTGTTGCCCTTAAGTGGTTTAAGACCCACTGTCATTACAGTAGAGGATCTGCCCTTTTAATATAATTTTCTGTAAGTTGTTGTAGATTGAGAAATATGATAAAAGGATTGAGTTGAAAATTAGGAGTAAAGGCACTAGCTAAATACTGGTCAAAAGATCCTATTCTTGACACTGAATCTTTCCCCTCCATAATCCATAAATCAGAAAACAGTGAAGCCAAATCAAATTAGGTGAACTGTATTTTGATTGTAGTAAGAATTAGTCTACTTGCTCTACAAGGTCTTGGCATTTGGTCTTTTTCGACCGAAGAATCAAAATAGTAGAGACTCCATAAGATCTTTCATTGCCAAAGGCATATCCAACAAGTGAAAATGGCTTCTGAGGAGTTTAAGAAAGTCTTGACCTCATATATATCTAAGTATAATGATTAATTGAATATTTTATCAGGCCTTGGAACTTTGTGTATTGCAAATTTTCTTTCTGTGATCAGATAAATTAATCCAATTTTGGTAATGCAGGTGTTCATTGCAGACTACTACTTTAAATCAAATCTGGCTGAGGATTTTTCTTATGCAGATATTCAGGTAAAAGAACTTGTTTGAAGAGAAACTTAATTTTTTTTTGTTTCTTGGTACGATGAAATCTAGAAACTTGGCACTTGTTTTAAGTTTAACAGTAGTCAGATTCTATTGGATGAGGGTTATTGTACATGATCTGATTATGCTCAACTATTTTTTGTATCACATGGTTATATCATTTTTTACTTGCTGATGCTCACTGGTTATGTTGTCTATTTATATGATAACATCCCTATTGCATGTGACATATCTGCCATATTCTGGTTGATATGTCTACATATGCTGTGACCTTTGTTCATAGCAATGAGGGAACTATAAAGTTGAAAGTTTTCCTGTGGGCTATACCATTCAGTGTCAAAGTTTCTGGTTGTATCTCTAAACAGAGCCTTGGTTTTTTGGTGAGAGCTCCTCTGGCACAGCTTATGGGAATTTTTGCCATACTTCCTCTAATGCATGTTGAGTATTCATGAAAAAAGTATTTTTTTCTAGATAATTTTATGCTAAATTTGGAAAATTTGGTTACGTTTTAAAGTCCTAGTATTTTGTTTATTTTACTTCCATGTGTTTTGGTATTGATATGCTAATTGTAATTAGAGACTTCCCTATTTACTCCTAATTCTCATTTGATATCAAATCATTAGGTCTATAACCATCAAACCATTATTCACAACTCACATGAGTGGTTTGTCTATTAATATATTATATTAAAAAGAAATGCTATGTGTTATTCATTTATCATCTCCTCTGCTTGACTTTATGAGTCACCGAACCATTATAGAAAGCATAATATTACACATACAACATTTTTCATACAACATTATGTGATAAAAGATGATTGGGTGAAAGTTTTTTTTTAATTTAAAATCAGCCAATCATATTTTGCCGCATAATGTTGTATGCGAAATGTTGTATGTGTCGTATCACTCTTATAGAAATTCTAGGCATATGGATTACAAAGAAACATAATAGAAAAGCACTGCCAAGACCTTCTTTTCATTTTTGAGCTGTTCATGAGATTCATTTTGTCAAGGTAATCATAAGCTTTCAGCTAATATTTCCAATAAGAACTTATGGCGTGCAGCCATTAGGATTTATGTAGAAGCTTACCTCTATTAATGCAATGCCAATAATCAAATTACTAGGTCTGACGAAGTCACTCTATGATTCTTTAATTGGATATAATGAGATTAAAGTTACTATAATTATATATATTAAGCTCAGGTGTCATGCCTGCTATTTTGTTTTAAGTTTAAAGTCAATTTCTTTTAGGTAATATTTACTTTGGATACTTTATCACTGTTGAGAAGAGGCTAGGGTGATTATGGTATCTTCACATTTAATTTACGGTAAACAAATTTATACTTTCTGTGTTTCTTTATAGTTGTTATATGTAATTGACAAATGGTGTAAGCACCATCCTAATTGAACCACTTGAATTATTCATACAGTGTTTCTTAGAATTAATGTATGATCAGTAACTTCTACACTCAAAGTTATGGTTTTCTTCTATGCACTCATTCAGGTTGAAGTGAAAATTGATACCTCTCGAGAAGCATCTAAAGATAGTGTCCTTGCCAACTTTGGCATAGAAGCAGCATTATATGACACCAGGAGCTGGTACAGCCATGATGGAATTAGCGATCTGCTTTCATCTAATGTGGCTAATATAAAGCTCAGTCCCTCTAGTGCAAGTGTAGACTTTCCTGGTTATGTGCTTGAGGGAAAACTTGAAATGCCAAGGCTTTGGTCTGCAGAGCAAGTAAGGAAGCCAACTTTTCAGATACCATTTCAAATTTATATTTATCATGAACTCATTAGGTGGTAAATAATTTTCCCCTTTCTTTTTATCTATTTTTTGTTTTTCCTTTGCGGGGGTGAGTGGGGCGTGGGGCATAGTGAGTGGTGTTGAGTATCTAAACTTTATTAAGCAACAAAGGATAACATTAAGTTTGTAGATGTTGACGTGCTAAATTTGTACCAGACAAGAAAAAGGGAAATATGGCTTCCTACTGAAAATGATGAAGTACAACAAGGTTAACAATGGTGTTGAAATAAATATTGCTTAGTTGTCAGTTACCAAACCAGTTGTGTGCAGTATACAAGATGTATTTCTCTTTATTTTCTGTTTCTGTATTTTCATTTTCTAGTCTTGCTGTTAGGCTATATAATCCTTGTGCTGTTACTAATCAATACAACTCTAAGTAATCTTTTTCTCTGTTAATAGATGGTGATGGTGTAAATGATCAGAATTTTCTGGCATTTATATCTTAACAGCTTAACTGTTGATCTAGGGTGTAGATGATATTAACAAATTTTCTGCAGTTCACACTTTCTTTAACTACCCTATGGTCTATTATGATATCTCATTGTTCCTTGCATGGTATCATATAATTTATGTATTTCTTTCAAACACCAACAACAAATGTTTGCTCAATATGAACACATATGTATATGGTGAAGTGCATTTATTGTCATAATCTATGTTATCAGCAGCATAGTTATTTTCATAATTTAAATACAGAGAAGAAGCATGCTATATGCTTTATATAAATGATTTTTACTGATTCTAATACGTTGAATAAGAAAACATGGTATGGGATAGGATTCAGTTTTTAGCATCGTTTTGGGCTGCGGAACTCTTAAGAATTTTTTCGATTCTTCACTTTTCTTTATTCATCTAAATTGGGATGGGGTTATCAATTAATTTGGCAGTGGGGTTTTGTATAGATTGATTCACATCTATATTATACAGCTTGTGTCTTTTTGAGACTGTTGTGGACATCTGGTTAATTGCTATAACTCATTTTTACCATCAATACATATATTTTGCTTCCTATATATATATATATATAAAAAGATAAATAAAAAAAAAAAAAAATTTGGTTGTGGTCATGGTTGTATGGTTTCTTATTGTATTGTTTATTTGTTATCATATAATGTAGAGTTTTTTTCCCTGAAAGAATAAACTTTAAATTAGTATAGCAGAAATGGAGAGGCATGGCAATGGGTTTGTTAACAAATTATATGGTAATGTAAGGTCCAGTGTGAGAAACATGAAGAACTTATTCATTTTAATATCTTTTGGCTTTATGATTGTAATTCCATAGGGTTTGAAAATTAGGATAGTAATGCATGAATTACACCACGTTCCTTCAATTTATGTATGAAAATCTTATCTGTATGAAAAAGATAAGTGAGGTGACACGTTTCCTCCCTCGAAGAATGTAAAGAAAATATCAAGGAATATATGCACACGTCTAAATGATTGCAGTGACATGAGGTTCTAGTCTCTTCCTGACCCATTGCTTTGAACAACTTTGTAAATTTACCTATCTTATTTCTCTTTTGTTTTGCCCATTTTGTTTCTTTGATATAAAAAATAGTGTATTTATTTAGTTTTTAATCAACAATGGAAGAAATGTCAAATGAAAATTTTGCATGTGATAGAAGTTTTTATTTCTTAGACGGTTCAAAGACTGCATTAGGAGATTCAAGAACTTTTCTGTAGAACTTCTATCTTATTTCTTGCTCTGTTAGCTTTCCTAATCAATTGTGCTCATGATTAGGTTTTATTGAGTTCCATAGAGTTTTTTGAACTCCATTGTTTTGTCCTTGCTTAGCAAATTTGACTTTGTATTACAATGTTTTCCTGTACCTAAATCTTTGGCATTTCCATATCTTATTTATTTTTAATTTGCATTCTTGAACAGCCAAATTTGTATACTCTTGTTGTCATCCTCAAAGATGCATCTGGCCTTGTAGTGGATTGTGAATCATGCCTTGTCGGCATACGACAAGTATCAAAAGCTCCCAAACAATTACTTGTTAACGGCCATCCAGTTGTAATAAGAGGTGTTAATAGGCATGAACATCATCCACGTCTGGGGAAGACAAACTTGGAGTCATGCATGATTAAGGTTCTATTTATTCCTTTTGCTCCCCTCAATATTAGATTCAATTTCAAACTTGGTCCTGCAAAATGGTTTTATTTACCATATTGTGATGTTCTAACTTTTCTGCCTACAGGATTTGGTTCTGATGAAGCAAAACAATATAAATGCTGTAAGAAACAGCCACTATCCCCAACATCCCCGTTGGTACGAATTGTGTGATTTATTTGGCATGTACATGATAGACGAAGCGAATATTGAGACACATGGCTTCTACTTTTCGGGACATCTGAAGCATCCTGCTTCAGAACCAAGTTGGGCTACTGCTATGTTGGATCGTGTGATAGGCATGGTAGAGAGAGACAAAAATCATGCTTCCATTATTTGCTGGTCTTTAGGAAATGAGGCTGGATACGGTCCTAATCATTCTGCTTCAGCTGGTACTTGATTCTGCTTTCTTTTTTTATTTATTTTATTTATCTTTGGGAGTTTGGGGGTTTTTGGAACCAATTTCTTGATACTTCATCAACTTCACTGCTGTTTCATTTTGTTGTTCTTTACTTTAAGCATAGTTTTGCAAAACTCTTCTAGTGAACGGGTTCTTAGATAAAATGAATTTATTTCTTAAAGGTGTCCCACAGAACCCTTGTTTGTAGTTGCAGGGAACTTTTCTGTTTTTTATGTTTTGCATTTTCACATTTACATATTTTGGCATCAAAAGCATCTGAGATATGCAATACATATCTGAAGTTTTTTCTTGAATTGAAGGTGAAATTTGGGAAAAGATAAAAGCATGCACTGCACTGATTGAATAAGAATTGTGCAATTTTGTTGTCTAATTTGAACTGGCACAGTAATAAGATTCCAGCATATAAAATGTCTATTAAATTTTAGATATATTGCTGTAAGCTCTATGACATATGGATTGTATGTTGTTCTCAAAAAGCTGGTCATGATTAAATTTCTATCTTTAAATTTGGGTATATAAATTTACTGAAGTCTTGGAATTGATCAAAATTATCACTCTTTCTTTTCTTCTCTACTCATGTCCGCTTGAGAGGGAGTGTAGAAATTTATTGTTTTCCTTCCCCTATTTCCTTTTGGTCCAAAATTGAGAAGTGGATGCCAGAATGGAAGACCAATGAGAGAAAACTTTATAAAATTCTCTTCTTGTTGCCAAGATAGGCGAACAATTGTGAACAGAAATTTTTTTAGAGCAAGTTAAGTGATATATTCTATAGAAAGTACTTGCTCATAATAAGATTATGAGTACTTTCTTAGTTTTCTCCTTCAATGAAAACAAAGAAAGAAAATTTTCCCCCTTTCCTTCTCCTCGTTTATATACCTTTCCTGTTCTCGTAGGTAATGAGATGAACTGAATGTTATTGGTATGATGGATTTTGTATATAGGTTGGATTCGAGGAAATGATCCCTCGCGGCTAATTCACTATGAAGGAGGTGGATCCAGAACTCCATCTACTGATATTGTATGCCCAATGTATATGCGTGTCTGGGACATAGTGAAGATTGCAAAAAATCCAGCTGAAACACGTCCTTTGATATTATGCGAGTATGCTAGTTCATTGCTATTTTATTTTCACAGAGGCTGCTTGCTTTTTTATTTTTAGATTAGCCAATAACAAGATAACTGGCCTTTTATTTTTGTAGTCTTTCCACTTTTGTTTACTTAAGGTTTCTTATGAAGTCTCTAATGATAGGTATTCACATGCAATGGGAAACAGCAATGGAAATCTTCATGAATATTGGGAAGCAATTGATAACACATTTGGTCTCCAAGGAGGCTTTATCTGGGATTGGGCCGACCTGGTACAGAACCTTTCAGTCCAAGTGCAGTGAATAATTAACATCTTGCCTAAATTTGAGTTTTGGCAATATTTTAATACAATATTCATGTAAATTTTAAAAGAACTTTTGCAGTTAATCTAGTAGGCACCGCCTTGTGATGATAAATAAGTTTTCCCTCCACTTCTCTATGGACTTTTTTTCCCCAATTGCATCGCCCATGAACAGTTATGAAATTACTTGTATGAAAATACCTCTTTTCCCCTCTAATTCTCATCTGGCAAGCCATATATTTTTCTCAGAAAGGAAGTTTTGGCACTCCTCCTTTCATGTTAAACTCTCTTTGGTTTTCTCCTCACAAATATGCCACGTTCCTATATGAGAACAACTTCTTTGTCTTGTCCTCGGTTACTATTATGCTTCTTTTCCTTTTCAAATAATAACAGGTTCAAGTTCTTGAATAAGTTGATTGGTAAACATGGATATGAATCACTGTGTCCTGTTTTCTCGAGTTATGTCTGTCTCCCTTTTCTGTTTGAATGATGTGTAAATGCTTGCACAGATCAGTAGAAACCTTAAGAAATTTAAGTAACAAATATCGAAGCTTTAATTTAAGTGCAAGTTATTATCTGCGCTTCAGTTTATTTGATTTTCTTCCTATCATATGAGGTTCACATTGAAGTTTGTTTTTTCAGCATGCTATAACTCAACTAGAATTGTTCTCTTATCTGGCTAGTTAAATTCAAAGCACCTTAACTTAATTAATGAAATTGCTGACTTCTTTCTGTGTAAATATCATTCTATTATATTTCTTTTCAATTGTCAAATGTTTGAGCTCTGTTTTGTGGTCAAGGAATTTAGAACCTAATTCGTCTGTTATACTTGAGCTATTTTTCTTGAAAATGTATTATCAAAATGATATCCTGGACTGTGTTCCCATAGCATCTCTGTTTCTCTTCATTTTCTCTCCTCCCTTCTCCCTTTTATTTTTCTCTTTTCTTCGGTTGCTCAGCAGAGGATGATATTACCCGGAGATTAATATTTTGCATTTTGCATTTTGCAATTTTCATGTAGGGATTATTGAAAGAGAGTGCTGATGGTAGTAAACGTTGGGCATATGGAGGTGATTTTGGGGATACACCTAATGATTTGAACTTCTGTTTGAATGGCTTAATATGGCCAGATCGAACTCCTCATCCTGCATTACACGGTAACATCATATTTATGTCTTATGTAAAATGTAGGAATGTCCTTATAGCTCTTATTCCAACGATCAGCTTGCATCACAACTCATTGTCCTTCTTATGATTTTTCAGAAGTTAAGTATCTCTATCAAACAATCAAGGTTTCCATAAGAGAAAGCATGGTCAAGGTATTCACCTTTCTTCATTGGCTTTTTATTTACTTTTAATTTAATCTCATTTTTACTTACAGTTGAAATCTTTCTTTACAGATAACCAACACTAATTTTTTTGAAACAACGGAACAATTGCATTTCACCTGGGTTCTTCATGGGGATGGTTGTATGCTTGGATCTGGAGTTCTATCTCTTCCCGTGATACAACCCCAGAGCAGTTATGATATAGAATTGAAGTCGAGTCCATGGTATTCTCAATGGGCTTCTTGTTCTGCAGAAGAAATTTTTTTGACTATAACTGGTAAACTTTTGGACTCTACACGCTGGGTTGAAGCTGGCCATGTCGTTTCTTCTACACAAGTCCAATTGCCTTCCAAAAGAGAAACTATTCGTCATGTAATTGTTCTTCCTTTTTTACATGTTCTATAAGTGTAGACACAAGGTAACATGGTTATATGCTTGATTAATGATGTCGGTTTTCAGGTCATCAAAACTGGAGGTGCTGTTATTCGCCACGAAACTATTGGGGATACAATTCTGGTCAGCCACCAGAATGATTGGGAGATAAAATTTGACATTCAGACCGGAGCTGTTGAAAGCTGGAAGGTAGTTTATAAAACTGGTCATGTGGAATTGGCCACCTTTTATTGAAACGAAATTGATCTTTTTTAAATGCAATTCACTATATAATGGCGAAGATACCTGTTTGAGCATTTTGGAAGCCAGCAGAATATAAATGGAAATCTTCTGGCAAATGTTACTCCTTTAAGTACAGTCTTTTATATGTTTGAACACATGTTACCTGATTGTCTTCATTTAAACAATATACATGCATATCAAACCTTGTTTTTTGATGGAACAAGTGAACACCTTTTCAGACTACTGCCAAAAAATTGTGTATTGAACTAGCCACAGAGAGGTTCTAACTTGCGGTTGCTTGCATGCAATGACAAATTTATAAACTTGGGATGCTTTGCTTGTCATGGTAGATGAAAAGTTTCTCCATAATATTTGAGTGCATTTTGAAATGGTAGAAGAGAAAGGTATTTAAGATTTAAAGTTAAAACACTTCTTTCAATATTTTTGTCTATAGCATTTAATTGAGAATTTCAAGGAATTACCTTTTCATGAAAACATTTTTAATTAATTATCTCTCTCTTTATTCCACGTTTTTCTTCTCTCTGAAATGTTTAGGAGAATTGAATGAATGAACCAAAAAATCAACATACTCTTGACATGTTTTTATTTTGATTTTCAACTTTCTGGAATGTTTAAAGACGCTAAAATGACAGCCATAACTGTTTAGAACTTGTTTCTTACATTTTTGTTGTCACACTCAAATTATTATCTGTCATGTACTTGACTATATTAGGAACTACGAGTAAAATTTTGTGCTGAATGGCAGGTTAATGGAGTTCCTGTGATGAACAAAGGCATATTTCCATGCTTCTGGAGGGCACCTACAGATAATGACAAAGGGGGCGGTGAAAGTAGTTACTACTCCAAGTGGAAAGCTGCTCATATTGATAGCCTTCTTTTTCATACAAAGGGCTGTTCCACACAGAATGTTACAGACGATCTTGTGAAGATAGCAGTGGTTTACTTTGGTGTGCCTAAGGGCGAGGGTTCCTCCTCTGAAAAGGAAAAACCAAATGCTTTATTTGAAATTGAATTGGTTTATACAATATATGGTTCTGGGAATGTCATTATCGAATGCAATGTTAAACCAAATGCTGATCTTCCACCTTGGCCACGTGTTGGAGTTGAATTCCACTTAGAAAAATCAATGGAAAATATCAAATGGTATGGTAGAGGACCGTTTGAATGTTATCCTGATAGAAAAGCTGCGGCACATGTTGGAGTATATGATCAGAAAGTGGGTGACTTGCATGTACCTTATATTGTTCCTGGTGAATGTGGGGGTAGGGCAGATGTTAGATGGGTGACATTCCAAAACAAGGAGGGTTTTGGAATTTATGCTTCAATGTATGACAACTCACCCCCCATGCAGATGAATGCAAGTTACTACACAACCACAGAGCTTGACCGTGCAACACACAATGAGGATCTCTTAAAAGGAGATATCATCGAGGTAATTTCAACTGTGTTTTCTTTTTCCTACCGAAGAAAATATTCAGTGTTAATAAAATATTTTTGTCAGCAGTTGGGTATCGAGCAGCCTTCTATTTCTTTTTTACTCAGAAGTTCCCCAACCCTTCTTATGTGTTCATTGAGTTTTGAACTGAGACTATTGCCGAATAATCATTTGAGCTAGTCCTTGGGGTTTATTTTTGTGCATTTTGTCGACTTATGTATATTTTTCTATATTTTTTTGCTCGTTCTCATGTTTACACGTATCTGTCTCAATTTTCATGTTCACTGTAACCAATTGTCCCTTCATGGTGATGGTATTATAGGTGCATCTTGACCACAAACATATGGGTCTAGGAGGGGACGATAGCTGGACGCCGTGTGTCCACGATAAGTATCTCATTCCTGGTGTACCTTACTCATTCTGTATTAGGTTATGCCCATTAACTGCAGCCACATCTGGCCATGACATCTACAGGTCCCAACTTCAGAACTAAGTCCTTTGAACAGATTGTGTTACTTGATACTTCAATAAGAATAAATGATGATGATGCGTGTTGCCGTTGTGCATATTGAAAGGTTCTCCTCAAGATCTTTTGCTTTTTGTGACAGAAGTAGTTTTTCATTTTCATTGTAAACTGTAGTAGTTTTCCCCTTGTAGGATATTCTGGGCTGGTTATGTGGTTCAAAATGCTGTGTTCGAGAATCCATTTTCTGGGCATACTTATTGAATAAAAATATAAAACTACTTTTCATATTTGCTTATTTATCTGGATCTTCTCTATTTATTGCTTATGCTATAATAAAATTTCAGGCCAGTAACGTTATTGGTCCCCGACAATCATCGGATGAGATTTCTCTTAAAAGGAGAAGTTCGATTGGCTTTGGCCACAATACAAGTATGTAAGAATGCGTCGTACTATGCTTGAAGATAAATTGAGTGTTGGATTAATCATGCGGCTAAGATTTACTGATAGAGAAAATACATTATTTATAAATGATAAATGTGATTACTACTGAACATTTTAAATTTGCATGTGATAGAAGTTTTTATTTCTTAGACGGTTCAAAGACTGCATTAGGAGATTCAAGAACTTTTCTGTAGAACTTCTATTTTCTTGCTCTGTTAGCTTTCCTAATCAATTGTGCTCATGATTAGGTTTATTGAGTTCCATACGAGTTTTTTGAACTCCATTGTTTTGTCCTTGCTTAGCAAATTTGACTTTGTATTACAATGTTTTCCTGTACCTAAATCTTTGGCATTTCCATATCTTATTTATTTTTAATTTGCATTCTTGAACAGCCAAATTTGTATACTCTTGTTGTCATCCTCAAAGATGCATCTGGCCTTGTAGTGGATTGTGAATCATGCCTTGTCGGCATACGACAAGTATCAAAAGCTCCCAAACAATTACTTGTTAACGGCCGTCCAGTTGTAATAAGAGTGTTAATAGGCATGAACATCATCCACGTCTGGGAAGACAAACTTGAGTCATGCATGATTAAGGTTCTATTTATTCCTTTTGTCCCTCCTATTAGATTCAATTTCAAACTTGGTCCTGCAAAATGGTTTTATTACCATATTGTGAGTGTTCTAACTTTTCTGCCTACAGGATTTGGTTCTGATGAAGCAAACAATATAAATGCTGTAAGAAACAGCCACTATCCCCAACATCCCCGTTGGTACGAATTGTGTGATTTATTTGGCTGTACATGATAGACGAAGCGAATATTGAGACACATGGCTTCTACTTTCGGGCATCTGAAGCATCCTGTTCAGAACCAAGTTGGGCTACTGCTATGATGGTCGTGTGATAGGCATGGTAGAGAGAGACAAAAATCATGTCCATTATTTGCGGTCTTTAGGAAATGAGGCTGGATACGGTCCTAATCATTCTGCTTCAAGCGGTACTTGATTCTGCTTTTTTTTTATTATTTATTTATCTTTGGGAGTTTGGGGTTTTTGGAACCAATTTTGATACTTCATCAACTTCATGCTGTTTCATTTGTTGTTCTTTACTTTAAGCATAGTTTTGCAAAACTCTTCTAGTGAACGGGTTCTTAGATAAAATGAATTTATTTCTTAAAGGTGTCCCACAGAACCCTTGTTTGTGTGCAGGGAACTTTTCTGTTTTTTATGTTTTGCATTTTCACATTTACATATTTTGGCATCAAAAGCATCTGAGATATGAATACATATCTGAAGTTTTTTCTGAATTGAGGTGAAATTTGGAAAAGATAAAAGCATGCACTGCACTGATTGAATAAGAATTGTGCAATTTTGTTGTCTAATTTGAACTGGCACAGTAATAAGATCCAGCATATAAAATGTCTATTAATTTTAGATATTTCTGTAAGCTCTATGACAGATGGATTGTAGTTGTTCAAAAAGCTGGTCATGATTAAATTTCTATCTTTAAATTTGGGTATATAAATTTACTGAAGTCTTGGAATTGATCAAAATTATCACTCTTTCTTTCTCTCTACTCATGTCCGCTTGAGAGGGAGGTAGAAATTTATTGTTTTCCTTCCCCTATTTCCTTTTGGTCCAAAATTGAGAAGTGGATGCCGAATTGAAGACCAATGGGAGAAAAACTTTATAAAATTCTCTTCTTGTTGCCAGATAGGCGAACAATTGTGAACATAAATTTTTTTAGAGCAAGTTAAGTGATAATTCTGTAGAAAGTACTTGCTATAAAGATTATGATACTTTCTTAGTTTTCTCCTTCAATGAAAACAAAGAAAGAAAATTTTCCCCCCTTTCCTCTCGTTTATATACTTTCCTGTTCTCGTAGGTAATGAGATGAACTGAATTATGGTATGATGGATTTTGTATATAGGTTGGATTCGAGGAAATGACTCGCCGCTAATTCACTATGAAGGAGGTGGATCCAGAACTCCATCTACTGATATTGTATGCCCAATGTATATGCGTGTCTGGGACATAGTGAAGATTGCAAAGATCCAGCTGAAACACGTCCTTTGATTATGCGAGTATGCTAGTTCATGCTATTTTATTTTCACAGAGGCTGCTTGCTTTTTTATTTTTAGATAGCCAATAACAAGATAACTGGCCTTTTTATTTTGGTCTTTCACTTTGTTTTACTAAGGTTCTGAAGTCTCTAATGATAGGTATTCACATGCAATGGGAAACAGCAATGGAATCTTCATGAATATTGGGAAGCATTGATAACACATTTGGTCTCAAGGAGGCTTATCTGGGATTGGGCCGACCTGGTACAGAATCTTTCAGTCCAAGTGCAGTGAATAATTAACATCTTGCCAATTTGAGTTTTGGCAATATTTTAATACAATATTCATGTAAATTTTAAAAGAACTTTTGCAGTTAATCTAGTAGGCACCGCCTTGTGATGATAAATAAGTTTTCCCTCCACTTCTCTATGGACTTTTTTTCCCCAATTGCGTCGCCATGAACAGTTATGAAATTACTGTATGAAAATACTCTTTTCCCCTCTAATTCTCATCTGGCAAGCCATATATTTTTCTCAGAGGAAGTTTTGGCACTCCCTTTCATGTTAAACTCTTTGGTTTTCTCCTCACAAATATGCCACGTTCCTATATGAGAACAACTTTTGTTCTTGTCTCGGTTACTTTTGCTTCTTTCCTTTCAAATAATAACAGGTTCAAGTTCTTGAATAAGTTGAGGTAAACTGGATATGAATCACTGTGTCCTTTTTCTCGAGTATGTTTGTCTCCCTTTTCGTTTGAATGATGGTAAATGCTTGCACAGATCAGTAGAAACCTTAAGAAATTTAAGTAACAAATATCGAAGCTTTAATTAAGTGCAAGATATTATCTGCGCTTCAGTTTATTTGTTTCTTCCTATCTATGAGGTTCACATAAGTTTGTTTTTTCAGCATGCCATAACTCAACTAGAATTGTCTCTTATCTAGCTAGTTAAATTCTAGCAACTAACTTAATTAATGAAATTGCTGATTCTTTCTGTGTAAATATCATTCTATATTTTTTCAATTGTCAAATGTTTGAGCTCTGTTTTGTGGTCAAGGAATTTAGAACCTAATTCTCTGTTAACTTGAGCTATTTTTCTTGAAAATTATTATCAAAATGATTCCGGACTGTGTTCCATGCATCTGTTTCTCTTCATTTCTCTCCTCCCTTCTCCCTTTTTTTTCTCTTTTTCGGTTGCTCAGCAGAGGATGATATTACCGGAGATTAATATTTTTCATTTTGCAATTTCATATAGGGATATTGAAAGAGAGTGCTGATGGTAGTAAACTGGGCATATGGAGGTGATTTTGGGGATACACCTAATGATTTGAACTTCTGTTTGAATGGCTTAATATGGCCAGATCGAACTCCTCATCCTGCATTACACGGAACATCATATTTATGTCTTATGTAAAATGTAGGAATGTCTTATAGCTCTTATTCCAACGATCAGCTTGCATCACAACTCATTGTCCTTCTTATGATTTTTCAGAAGTTAAGTATCTCTATCAACAATCAAGGTTTCCATAAGAGAAAGCATGGTCAAGGTATTACCTTTCTTCATTGGCTTTTTATTACTTTTAATTTAATCTCATTTTTACTTACAGTTGAAATCTACTTTACAGATAACCAACACTAATTTTTTTGAAACAACGGAACATTGCATTTCACCGGGTTCTTCATGGGGATGGTTGTATGCTTGGATCTGGAGTTCTATCTCTTCCCGTGATACAACCCCAGAGCAGTTATGATATAGAATTGAAGTCAGTCCATGGTATTCTCAATGGGCTTCTTGTTCTGCAGAAGAAATTTTTTGACTAAACTGGTAAACTTTGGACTCTACACGCTGGGTTGAAGCTGGCCATGTGTTTCTTCTACACAAGTCCAATTGCTTCCAAAAGAGAAACTATTCGTCATGTAATTGTTCTTCCTTTTTTACATGTTCTTAAGTGCAGACACAAGGTAATATGGTTTATGCTTGATTAATGATGTCGGTTTTCAGGTCATCAAAACTGGAGGTGCTGTTATGCACACGAACTATGGGGATACAATTCTGGTCAGCCACCAGAATGATGGGGATAAAATTTGACATTCAGACCGGAGCTGTTGAAAGCTGGAGGTAGTTTATAAAATGTAGGCATATGGATTACAAAGAAACATAATAGAAAAGCACTGCCAAGACCTTCTTTTCATTTTTGAGCTGTTCATGAGATTCATTTTGTCAAGGTAATCATAAGCTTTCAGCTAATATTTCAAATAAGAACTTATGGTGTGCAGCCATTAGGATTTATGTAGAAGCTTACCTCTATTAATGCAATGCCAATAATCTAACTACTAGGTCTGACGAAGTCACTCTATGATTCTTTAATTGGATATAATGAGATTAAAGTTACTATAATTATATATATTAAGCTCAGGTGTCATGCCTGCTATTTTGTTTTAAGTTTAAAGTCTATTTCTTTTAGGTAATATTTACTTTGGATACTTTATCACTGTTGAGAAGAGGCTAGGGTGATTATGGTATCTTCACATTTAATTTACGGTAAACAAATTTATACTTTCTGTGTTTCTTTATAGTTGTTATATGTAATTGACAAATGGTGTAAGCACCATCCTAATTGAACCACTTGAATTATTCATACAGTGTTTCTTAGAATTAATGTATGATCAGTAACTTCTACACTCAAAGTTATGGTTTTCTTCTATGCACTCATTCAGGTTGAAGTGAAAATTGATACCTCTCGAGAAGCATCTAAAGATAGTGTCCTTGCCAACTTTGGCATAGAAGCAGCATTATATGACACCAGGAGCTGGTACAGCCATGATGGAATTAGCGATCTGCTTTCATCTAATGTGGCTAATATAAAGCTCAGTCCCTCTAGTGCAAGTGTAGACTTTCCTGGTTATGTGCTTGAGGGAAAACTTGAAATGCCAAGGCTTTGGTCTGCAGAGCAAGTAAGGAAGCCAACTTTTCAGATACCATTTCAAATTTATATTTATCATGAACTCATTAGGTGGTAAATAATTTTCCCCTTTCTTTTTATCTATTTTTTGTTTTTCCTTTGCGGGGGTGAGTGGGGCGTGGGGCATAGTGAGTGGTGTTGAGTATCTAAACTTTATTAAGCAACAAAGGATAACATTAAGTTTGTAGATGTTGACGTGCTAAATTTGTACCAGACAAGAAAAAGGGAAATATGGCTTCCTACTGAAAATGATGAAGTACAACAAGGTTAACAATGGTGTTGAAATAAATATTGCTTAGTTGTCAGTTACCAAACCAGTTGTGTGCAGTATACAAGATGTATTTCTCTTTATTTTCTGTTTCTGTATTTTCATTTTCTAGTCTTGCTGTTAGGCTATATAATCCTTGTGCTGTTACTAATCAATACAACTCTAAGTAATCTTTTTCTCTGTTAATAGATGGTGATGGTGTAAATGATCAGAATTTTCTGGCATTTATATCTTAACAGCTTAACTGTTGATCTAGGGTGTAGATGATATTAACAAATTTTCTGCAGTTCACACTTTCTTTAACTACCCTATGGTCTATTATGATATCTCATTGTTCCTTGCATGGTATCATATAATTTATGTATTTCTTTCAAACACCAACAACAAATGTTTGCTCAATATGAACACATATGTATATGGTGAAGTGCATTTATTGTCATAATCTATGTTATCAGCAGCATAGTTATTTTCATAATTTAAATACAGAGAAGAAGCATGCTATATGCTTTATATAAATGATTTTTACTGATTCTAATACGTTGAATAAGAAAACATGGTATGGGATAGGATTCAGTTTTTAGCATCGTTTTGGGCTGCGGAACTCTTAAGAATTTTTTCGATTCTTCACTTTTCTTTATTCATCTAAATTGGGATGGGGTTATCAATTAATTTGGCAGTGGGGTTTTGTATAGATTGATTCACATCTATATTATACAGCTTGTGTCTTTTTGAGACTGTTGTGGACATCTGGTTAATTGCTATAACTCATTTTTACCATCAATACATATATTTTGCTTCCTATATATATATATATATAAAAAGATAAATAAAAAAAAAAAAAAATTTGGTTGTGGTCATGGTTGTATGGTTTCTTATTGTATTGTTTATTTGTTATCATATAATGTAGAGTTTTTTTCCCTGAAAGAATAAACTTTAAATTAGTATAGCAGAAATGGAGAGGCATGGCAATGGGTTTGTTAACAAATTATATGGTAATGTAAGGTCCAGTGTGAGAAACATGAAGAACTTATTCATTTTAATATCTTTTGGCTTTATGATTGTAATTCCATAGGGTTTGAAAATTAGGATAGTAATGCATGAATTACACCACGTTCCTTCAATTTATGTATGAAAATCTTATCTGTATGAAAAAGATAAGTGAGGTGACACGTTTCCTCCCTCGAAGAATGTAAAGAAAATATCAAGGAATATATGCACACGTCTAAATGATTGCAGTGACATGAGGTTCTAGTCTCTTCCTGACCCATTGCTTTGAACAACTTTGTAAATTTACCTATCTTATTTCTCTTTTGTTTTGCCCATTTTGTTTCTTTGATATAAAAAATAGTGTATTTATTTAGTTTTTAATCAACAATGGAAGAAATGTCAAATGAAAATTTTGCATGTGATAGAAGTTTTTATTTCTTAGACGGTTCAAAGACTGCATTAGGAGATTCAAGAACTTTTCTGTAGAACTTCTATCTTATTTCTTGCTCTGTTAGCTTTCCTAATCAATTGTGCTCATGATTAGGTTTTATTGAGTTCCATAGAGTTTTTTGAACTCCATTGTTTTGTCCTTGCTTAGCAAATTTGACTTTGTATTACAATGTTTTCCTGTACCTAAATCTTTGGCATTTCCATATCTTATTTATTTTTAATTTGCATTCTTGAACAGCCAAATTTGTATACTCTTGTTGTCATCCTCAAAGATGCATCTGGCCTTGTAGTGGATTGTGAATCATGCCTTGTCGGCATACGACAAGTATCAAAAGCTCCCAAACAATTACTTGTTAACGGCCATCCAGTTGTAATAAGAGGTGTTAATAGGCATGAACATCATCCACGTCTGGGGAAGACAAACTTGGAGTCATGCATGATTAAGGTTCTATTTATTCCTTTTGCTCCCCTCAATATTAGATTCAATTTCAAACTTGGTCCTGCAAAATGGTTTTATTTACCATATTGTGATGTTCTAACTTTTCTGCCTACAGGATTTGGTTCTGATGAAGCAAAACAATATAAATGCTGTAAGAAACAGCCACTATCCCCAACATCCCCGTTGGTACGAATTGTGTGATTTATTTGGCATGTACATGATAGACGAAGCGAATATTGAGACACATGGCTTCTACTTTTCGGGACATCTGAAGCATCCTGCTTCAGAACCAAGTTGGGCTACTGCTATGTTGGATCGTGTGATAGGCATGGTAGAGAGAGACAAAAATCATGCTTCCATTATTTGCTGGTCTTTAGGAAATGAGGCTGGATACGGTCCTAATCATTCTGCTTCAGCTGGTACTTGATTCTGCTTTCTTTTTTTATTTATTTTATTTATCTTTGGGAGTTTGGGGGTTTTTGGAACCAATTTCTTGATACTTCATCAACTTCACTGCTGTTTCATTTTGTTGTTCTTTACTTTAAGCATAGTTTTGCAAAACTCTTCTAGTGAACGGGTTCTTAGATAAAATGAATTTATTTCTTAAAGGTGTCCCACAGAACCCTTGTTTGTAGTTGCAGGGAACTTTTCTGTTTTTTATGTTTTGCATTTTCACATTTACATATTTTGGCATCAAAAGCATCTGAGATATGCAATACATATCTGAAGTTTTTTCTTGAATTGAAGGTGAAATTTGGGAAAAGATAAAAGCATGCACTGCACTGATTGAATAAGAATTGTGCAATTTTGTTGTCTAATTTGAACTGGCACAGTAATAAGATTCCAGCATATAAAATGTCTATTAAATTTTAGATATATTGCTGTAAGCTCTATGACATATGGATTGTATGTTGTTCTCAAAAAGCTGGTCATGATTAAATTTCTATCTTTAAATTTGGGTATATAAATTTACTGAAGTCTTGGAATTGATCAAAATTATCACTCTTTCTTTTCTTCTCTACTCATGTCCGCTTGAGAGGGAGTGTAGAAATTTATTGTTTTCCTTCCCCTATTTCCTTTTGGTCCAAAATTGAGAAGTGGATGCCAGAATGGAAGACCAATGAGAGAAAACTTTATAAAATTCTCTTCTTGTTGCCAAGATAGGCGAACAATTGTGAACAGAAATTTTTTTAGAGCAAGTTAAGTGATATATTCTATAGAAAGTACTTGCTCATAATAAGATTATGAGTACTTTCTTAGTTTTCTCCTTCAATGAAAACAAAGAAAGAAAATTTTCCCCCTTTCCTTCTCCTCGTTTATATACCTTTCCTGTTCTCGTAGGTAATGAGATGAACTGAATGTTATTGGTATGATGGATTTTGTATATAGGTTGGATTCGAGGAAATGATCCCTCGCGGCTAATTCACTATGAAGGAGGTGGATCCAGAACTCCATCTACTGATATTGTATGCCCAATGTATATGCGTGTCTGGGACATAGTGAAGATTGCAAAAAATCCAGCTGAAACACGTCCTTTGATATTATGCGAGTATGCTAGTTCATTGCTATTTTATTTTCACAGAGGCTGCTTGCTTTTTTATTTTTAGATTAGCCAATAACAAGATAACTGGCCTTTTATTTTTGTAGTCTTTCCACTTTTGTTTACTTAAGGTTTCTTATGAAGTCTCTAATGATAGGTATTCACATGCAATGGGAAACAGCAATGGAAATCTTCATGAATATTGGGAAGCAATTGATAACACATTTGGTCTCCAAGGAGGCTTTATCTGGGATTGGGCCGACCTGGTACAGAACCTTTCAGTCCAAGTGCAGTGAATAATTAACATCTTGCCTAAATTTGAGTTTTGGCAATATTTTAATACAATATTCATGTAAATTTTAAAAGAACTTTTGCAGTTAATCTAGTAGGCACCGCCTTGTGATGATAAATAAGTTTTCCCTCCACTTCTCTATGGACTTTTTTTCCCCAATTGCATCGCCCATGAACAGTTATGAAATTACTTGTATGAAAATACCTCTTTTCCCCTCTAATTCTCATCTGGCAAGCCATATATTTTTCTCAGAAAGGAAGTTTTGGCACTCCTCCTTTCATGTTAAACTCTCTTTGGTTTTCTCCTCACAAATATGCCACGTTCCTATATGAGAACAACTTCTTTGTCTTGTCCTCGGTTACTATTATGCTTCTTTTCCTTTTCAAATAATAACAGGTTCAAGTTCTTGAATAAGTTGATTGGTAAACATGGATATGAATCACTGTGTCCTGTTTTCTCGAGTTATGTCTGTCTCCCTTTTCTGTTTGAATGATGTGTAAATGCTTGCACAGATCAGTAGAAACCTTAAGAAATTTAAGTAACAAATATCGAAGCTTTAATTTAAGTGCAAGTTATTATCTGCGCTTCAGTTTATTTGATTTTCTTCCTATCATATGAGGTTCACATTGAAGTTTGTTTTTTCAGCATGCTATAACTCAACTAGAATTGTTCTCTTATCTGGCTAGTTAAATTCAAAGCACCTTAACTTAATTAATGAAATTGCTGACTTCTTTCTGTGTAAATATCATTCTATTATATTTCTTTTCAATTGTCAAATGTTTGAGCTCTGTTTTGTGGTCAAGGAATTTAGAACCTAATTCGTCTGTTATACTTGAGCTATTTTTCTTGAAAATGTATTATCAAAATGATATCCTGGACTGTGTTCCCATAGCATCTCTGTTTCTCTTCATTTTCTCTCCTCCCTTCTCCCTTTTATTTTTCTCTTTTCTTCGGTTGCTCAGCAGAGGATGATATTACCCGGAGATTAATATTTTGCATTTTGCATTTTGCAATTTTCATGTAGGGATTATTGAAAGAGAGTGCTGATGGTAGTAAACGTTGGGCATATGGAGGTGATTTTGGGGATACACCTAATGATTTGAACTTCTGTTTGAATGGCTTAATATGGCCAGATCGAACTCCTCATCCTGCATTACACGGTAACATCATATTTATGTCTTATGTAAAATGTAGGAATGTCCTTATAGCTCTTATTCCAACGATCAGCTTGCATCACAACTCATTGTCCTTCTTATGATTTTTCAGAAGTTAAGTATCTCTATCAAACAATCAAGGTTTCCATAAGAGAAAGCATGGTCAAGGTATTCACCTTTCTTCATTGGCTTTTTATTTACTTTTAATTTAATCTCATTTTTACTTACAGTTGAAATCTTTCTTTACAGATAACCAACACTAATTTTTTTGAAACAACGGAACAATTGCATTTCACCTGGGTTCTTCATGGGGATGGTTGTATGCTTGGATCTGGAGTTCTATCTCTTCCCGTGATACAACCCCAGAGCAGTTATGATATAGAATTGAAGTCGAGTCCATGGTATTCTCAATGGGCTTCTTGTTCTGCAGAAGAAATTTTTTTGACTATAACTGGTAAACTTTTGGACTCTACACGCTGGGTTGAAGCTGGCCATGTCGTTTCTTCTACACAAGTCCAATTGCCTTCCAAAAGAGAAACTATTCGTCATGTAATTGTTCTTCCTTTTTTACATGTTCTATAAGTGTAGACACAAGGTAACATGGTTATATGCTTGATTAATGATGTCGGTTTTCAGGTCATCAAAACTGGAGGTGCTGTTATTCGCCACGAAACTATTGGGGATACAATTCTGGTCAGCCACCAGAATGATTGGGAGATAAAATTTGACATTCAGACCGGAGCTGTTGAAAGCTGGAAGGTAGTTTATAAAACTGGTCATGTGGAATTGGCCACCTTTTATTGAAACGAAATTGATCTTTTTTAAATGCAATTCACTATATAATGGCGAAGATACCTGTTTGAGCATTTTGGAAGCCAGCAGAATATAAATGGAAATCTTCTGGCAAATGTTACTCCTTTAAGTACAGTCTTTTATATGTTTGAACACATGTTACCTGATTGTCTTCATTTAAACAATATACATGCATATCAAACCTTGTTTTTTGATGGAACAAGTGAACACCTTTTCAGACTACTGCCAAAAAATTGTGTATTGAACTAGCCACAGAGAGGTTCTAACTTGCGGTTGCTTGCATGCAATGACAAATTTATAAACTTGGGATGCTTTGCTTGTCATGGTAGATGAAAAGTTTCTCCATAATATTTGAGTGCATTTTGAAATGGTAGAAGAGAAAGGTATTTAAGATTTAAAGTTAAAACACTTCTTTCAATATTTTTGTCTATAGCATTTAATTGAGAATTTCAAGGAATTACCTTTTCATGAAAACATTTTTAATTAATTATCTCTCTCTTTATTCCACGTTTTTCTTCTCTCTGAAATGTTTAGGAGAATTGAATGAATGAACCAAAAAATCAACATACTCTTGACATGTTTTTATTTTGATTTTCAACTTTCTGGAATGTTTAAAGACGCTAAAATGACAGCCATAACTGTTTAGAACTTGTTTCTTACATTTTTGTTGTCACACTCAAATTATTATCTGTCATGTACTTGACTATATTAGGAACTACGAGTAAAATTTTGTGCTGAATGGCAGGTTAATGGAGTTCCTGTGATGAACAAAGGCATATTTCCATGCTTCTGGAGGGCACCTACAGATAATGACAAAGGGGGCGGTGAAAGTAGTTACTACTCCAAGTGGAAAGCTGCTCATATTGATAGCCTTCTTTTTCATACAAAGGGCTGTTCCACACAGAATGTTACAGACGATCTTGTGAAGATAGCAGTGGTTTACTTTGGTGTGCCTAAGGGCGAGGGTTCCTCCTCTGAAAAGGAAAAACCAAATGCTTTATTTGAAATTGAATTGGTTTATACAATATATGGTTCTGGGAATGTCATTATCGAATGCAATGTTAAACCAAATGCTGATCTTCCACCTTGGCCACGTGTTGGAGTTGAATTCCACTTAGAAAAATCAATGGAAAATATCAAATGGTATGGTAGAGGACCGTTTGAATGTTATCCTGATAGAAAAGCTGCGGCACATGTTGGAGTATATGATCAGAAAGTGGGTGACTTGCATGTACCTTATATTGTTCCTGGTGAATGTGGGGGTAGGGCAGATGTTAGATGGGTGACATTCCAAAACAAGGAGGGTTTTGGAATTTATGCTTCAATGTATGACAACTCACCCCCCATGCAGATGAATGCAAGTTACTACACAACCACAGAGCTTGACCGTGCAACACACAATGAGGATCTCTTAAAAGGAGATATCATCGAGGTAATTTCAACTGTGTTTTCTTTTTCCTACCGAAGAAAATATTCAGTGTTAATAAAATATTTTTGTCAGCAGTTGGGTATCGAGCAGCCTTCTATTTCTTTTTTACTCAGAAGTTCCCCAACCCTTCTTATGTGTTCATTGAGTTTTGAACTGAGACTATTGCCGAATAATCATTTGAGCTAGTCCTTGGGGTTTATTTTTGTGCATTTTGTCGACTTATGTATATTTTTCTATATTTTTTTGCTCGTTCTCATGTTTACACGTATCTGTCTCAATTTTCATGTTCACTGTAACCAATTGTCCCTTCATGGTGATGGTATTATAGGTGCATCTTGACCACAAACATATGGGTCTAGGAGGGGACGATAGCTGGACGCCGTGTGTCCACGATAAGTATCTCATTCCTGGTGTACCTTACTCATTCTGTATTAGGTTATGCCCATTAACTGCAGCCACATCTGGCCATGACATCTACAGGTCCCAACTTCAGAACTAAGTCCTTTGAACAGATTGTGTTACTTGATACTTCAATAAGAATAAATGATGATGATGCGTGTTGCCGTTGTGCATATTGAAAGGTTCTCCTCAAGATCTTTTGCTTTTTGTGACAGAAGTAGTTTTTCATTTTCATTGTAAACTGTAGTAGTTTTCCCCTTGTAGGATATTCTGGGCTGGTTATGTGGTTCAAAATGCTGTGTTCGAGAATCCATTTTCTGGGCATACTTATTGAATAAAACTACTTTTCATATTTGCTTATTTATCTGGATCTTCTCTATTTATTGCTTATGCTATAATAAAATTTCAGGCCAGTAACGTTATTGGTCCCCGACAATCATCGGATGAGATTTCTCTTAAAAGGGAAGTTCGATTGACTTTGGCCATAATACAAGTATGTAAGAATGCGTCGTACTATGCTTGAAGATAAATTGAGTGTTGGATTAATGATGCGGCTAAGATTTACTGATAAAGAAAATACATTATTTATAAATGATAAATGTGATTACTACTGAACATTTTTAATCGGTTTAGTTAGTGCTCATGACCATCGACGATATCCCAAATTCGCATATCACTGAAGATCAAATATTGTTAGCAGTTTAACCTCAAGAGGTTAGTATAGTGGTCAATGAGGTTTGTTCATTTTTTTGAGTTCTTTAATTAAAATCTTGAGATCATTTATCACAATAATATTGTAGTTTACCTGGTTCTTTGGGCTTATGGGGTGTTCAATAGACCTTGGGGATTAGTTGAGGTGCGCACAAATTAATCCGTACACCCTGGTTATCAAAAAAAAAAAAAAAAGAATTGTCAGCAGCCATCATAATTGACTTCAAAAGCTAACAATAGTTTGAACAATTTGAATAAATGATGAAGTTTTTTGAGGCATAAAATGCTGAAAGAAATTGATATTGGCACAATGAAGGATGAAGATGGAGCATTAGCTGCTATGGTTGCTGAATCCGAGGCTTTACAGCATTAATAGAACTAGGTTTTTAGTTCCTTTTTCATTAGATATGTTTCCAATTGATGGAAAATGGGAGTTTGCAAAATTACAAAGCCAGGTTAGTATGATGTTGTGTAATAGGTTGATAATATTTAATGTATGTTTTCGTGGTGCAGTATGTTTGCTGTTAGAGAGAAGTTTCCAAATGTGTTCAAGGTACTTAAGACGGAAGTGAGTGGCTAGTTGATATTACATTACACGGTGGATTGTTTGGATTTTCATATGACAAAACCTCGGAGGAAGGAAACACTTGTCCCTTTGTGTTGCATACGATGAAGGCTGTATTTCATGCTACCACACGCTAAATTTTGAAGATTGTTGTTTGAAACGTGTGAGTATAAATCTTATTTATTTACCCAAACTGGTAGCCAGAAAATCATTCTAGGGCCAACACATAAATTAAACTTAACAATACAATTATTAATAAATTTATAGGGTATAATATATATTAAAATGTAAATATTTATTTATAATATTCTTTATAATTAATACATTTGACGATATAAAATAAATATATAATACTCAACAAGTGTAAAAACAACCAAGAAAATTTATTAAGGTAACAAATTATTATCAATTTTTTTCTCCATATGAGTTTATTTAGCAACCATAACATAAATGAACAGCTAAATAATGTATCACATAAAGTTATTATCGGCAACAATTGTCATGGCACCAAAATGTTTTCCAATATTTTGTTATAAATGAAATATAGTTTTTTGGAGGCAATTTTTCTCTCCTTGTAGACCGTTTCAATAATTAAAAATTGTAATAAACAACCATATTTTAGGTAGCTGAAAGTTATTTTCTTGGCGATGATCATTATGGTAATAAATTATTATCTATTTTTTGGTAACTTTCTCTCTATATGGACGTATTTAATAACTATATTTTAAAATTGAGAAATAAATATTTAGTCATAGAAATTTATTTTTGGCAACAATAATCATGGCTGGCTTGACGGTCAAGAAGGCTTGCTTCATTCTTTAATTTCTGGGTTCAAACCTTAGGGTTACATACCATAATAACATTATGGTTTGTCTGGTCATTTGAGCTTGTAGGATGGTCAATAGATCCCAAGGATTAGTTGAGATGCAACAAGCTGGCCTAGACACTCCAGTAACAAAAAAAAAAAAAAAAAAAAACAAATAAAAAAAATAACCCTTCATATCTCAAAATCGACAAAGTGCCACCATTGCCGCCGCTGTCGTCAGGCGTTTGGAGCTTATTCCGACCGATTTTCTTAGCAAAATCGCCACAAATCATCACCTTATCATTTCCCAAGTGTTTCCTAACCTTGATAGCCCTCGATTTGGTCGATTTTCATAGATTCTCGCAAACTAACTCCACTACGCATGATAGCCATTTTCGGCATTTTCAGCCTATACCCAGTGTCGTTGGCCTTCCCCGACACCACCATCTTCCTCCCTCAGCCCTTAGACCAAAACCCCTATGACACCTCACTTGTTTCCTCTATATATCGCTGGCCACTGCCACCTTTTGGTCCAAGATTCTCAAGCTTTTTTCGGTCAATCTTAGCATAAAAAATAACCCTCATCACCACCTATCGCTTCCCCGACATTTGCTCTCCAAAACCCCCCCACCAACCTAACCCTGTTAGCCGGTCAATCGCCGTCCACCTCTCCTGAGGGTTTTTGTTTTTTGTGTTTTGTTTTTTTAATAAAAATTGAAGAAAAGGGAGTTATTGAAAAATATTTGAAGTAATATATTTTTTCTAATTCTATTAGTTTGAAGTTAATTTATTTGTTAAGGGCAATATGATAATAGCACTTTATATACTGTGTTAGAACTCAAAAATCAGTAATTGTATTAATTTAAGGGTAGGAATCTGGAATTTGTGAACCATAGGTGGGAACTTGTTGATTCGCCAAACCTTGGGTGGGTACATGTCCTTTACTCAAAAAAAAAAAAATATATATATATATATAGTCAAAATTTTCCTCCTTGTGAACCTATTAATATTATACAATTGTAATTTGTAATGAACGACTAAATATTCACTAGTGAAAAACTATATATATATATTACGATTATCATGATAGCAAATTATTATTGTTGTGCCTAAAAAGTCACACTAATGTCAATTCAACAAGTGTCTAAAAGACAAAGTATACTAACTGTCAAACACATACCATTTCAAAGATATTTTATACCAACTCTATCTCATTTTAAGATAAGGACAAATTAAAGCTCTCTATGTGTCAATGCCACTCATTATATTGACTTCAAAGGTGTATAAATTGGAATCTCTCTTTGTAAAAGAGGAGGTTGGACAAATGAAGTTAGACATAGATTTGAGCTCATTATTTTTCTTTGTAAACAAAGTATTTATCTATCTTTCTATGCCTTACGAGCGATATCATAGAGATAATCAAAAAATAATAAAAGAAAAGTGGACGTAAGATTCGTTTTAAGCATCCGAACTACTTTAAAAATCATCTCCTTCTTATTTATTTCTTTTTCTATTCATGTGTAATTTTGAAGTCAGCTTAGCACTTTGCACGTGCGAATCGTTGATATCAAAATCAAGCATAAACAATTATCAATTTTTTTATTCCTAATTTTCCCTCTATATATATGAAAATATTTAAAAGCCATAATTTAGAAATTTTTTGATAACTAAATATTTTTGTTGTAAAAAACTATTTGATTTGTTGTCCTTCTAGTTAACACTCTGATTTCACAACATTATTTAACTGGATTTTGTAGCTTATCTCCATCAATTGACTACGTTTCCCAATATTTTTTTTATATCCAAGCACTAACTTATGTTCACTCGTGCTTTGTATATTTAATAGTTGCAATTATTCAAAACCCACTAAATAATAATAAAAAAACAAAAAACAAAAATATTACGTGTACAACCCAATCTCACAACTTTCTTTTATAATCCTAATGTGGCAGCAGAGTTGACATTACCACATCAACGGATGACTTTGACTAAACACAAACGGTAGTTTCTTAGAGAAAAGCGATCATTCCTTAGATACGAATGACCGTTCCTTAGGGACAAACGATTGTTCATTCATAAGGAATTGTTATTTCTTCATACGGAATAGTCGTTCTATTAATAATAAATTATTGTTTTTTATTCCATATAAATAAACGATTGTTCCTTCATAATGAACAGTCATTCCTAATGAAGGATCGATCGTTCATCCTTAAGAAATTACCATTTGTGTTTAGTTAAAATCATTTAGTGTCTTGCGTGTGGTAGGAGTTGACATGACAGTTACCAGCTCAGCTATCACATTGAGCTTGCGAGATTAAATCGTGGGCGTAACATTACTAAAAAAAAAAAACAAAAACAAAAAATTATTGTGTTGCTAATAAGCTGTTCTGGGCCATTGGCTGAATATATAAATACTGTTAATTGATGTAATGAACATGGATTAGTTGGAGGAATGAATGATAACTAAATATTTTTGTTGTAAAAAACTATTTGATTTGTTGTGGTAGAGAAACATTTTCTAATTTTTTTATATAAACTATAGAAGGAGTTATAAGGTATTATAAAATTTTGCTTGCATATGTCATCCACAGATTTAAAAGCTCATAAAATATATTCATTCTAATTCCTTAAAATATTAACCCAATTTCATATTTAAAGTTACTAATAAGGATATTTATTGATTCTTTTACTATTCTATTGTTTAGGTATTTTTTATCATCCTTTAATTTTTTTTTTCAAGAAAAAGAAAAAAAATTTATTTTAATCTATTTATTATTTGTAAAATATTATCATATAAGTTAGTTGAATTTATAACTCAAAAAATAATTTTTATTGTAATTGAAAATTAAATATATCAAATTAATATTAAAGGGGAGGAAAAACATGATTTTATTCATATTAAATGCGAAATTGGGAAAATGTTATAACTTACAAATCATAAAGTAGTACTGACATTAACAAATTGACGTCATGTTTTGCTGTACTGTCTTTTACTAGACACTACGATTACACATAATTTTATGTCTCAATTTTTTGAAGCTTTTACGGACTATAATTACTATACCATATATTTAAGAGTAAGAGACATGTTCCCACCCAATGTTTACCGAAATGACAAAGTCTCACCCTTAGTTTCATAAATTCCCCATTCCCACTCTTAAATTAACACCTAAATTAACACCGTTAATGATTTTTGGTTTTGATAAACTACAAAAAGTGTTATTACCAAATTGCCATTAAC